TTTTGCGTAAGACTGGCCAAAATTATGTAACCATTTGCGCACGCAGAGAGATGGGAATCTCGCTCTATCCTGTTGGCAAACTGCGCTTTGTAGCCGGCGGATTTTGCTATGTATAATTTCGTCCCTAGCTGATGTGGGTTTAATATGCGGCTGGGCCTATTAACCGTGGGCTTAATAAGCGGCGACTACTGTAGTTATTTTTATTCATGCGGTTTTAACTAAAATTTTGAGATGTGAACACAGACAATCATTCGCAAACGTGGTCTATGTTTTTACCACTGTCCGCCTAACTTCAAGTACTGAGAGGTTCGGGTATTGCATTAATAGGTAATGATACCTTCTATCTGTACGAGAAACCTCTCGGCTAGGGAAAATAAAACGCGTCCGGTTATACGGGGCTCAACAGGGTGAGAATATGAACGTTTAAATGGGCGGACGTAATATAAGCCCGTAGATATACTGTACTGTTTGAAATTCGATACCCTCCCACCTCTTTACGTCACCCAATCTATAGGCCAAACCGTAGTAGAAGCTACGACAGCAATCAATTAGCCCAGCAGGGTGGACGGCGATAAGCACAGGCGCCCTCATCGATGTTATTCTAGGTGACTGTCAACCGGAGGAATTGCGTCCCATATACACGTGCATCAAACAAAAAGCAGGGGTGGAAACTAACTAGACAAACGATGTTTTGTTTCGGCATCGAGTTAGTACACATTGTGGTCACAATGCGAGCTTATTGCGGGATCTAAATCCCAAAATTTAAGCGGGAGCCGAAAAAATGCGTTTGGTCTAGGGCCGGGACAACTGAAAAAAAAAAAACCGCACCAAATGGAATAAATTTATTTACAGAGAATGCTTAATCCTTCTTCTTCTTCTTTTTCTCAATACCGGTTACCTTGGCTGTACCACGGACTCTCTTCATCTTGTTTTTCCTTTCCTTCCTCTGTTTGCGACCGGATTTCTTGGCTTCCAAGAGGCCATTCTATGGAATAAGAAATTCAGCAAACAAGACTTACGCGAATAAGCCGGTAGTTGGGTTCGAACTTTTTCGCATAATCCAACGAGTCGTATACATTTACAAATCCCGAGGATTTACCACCACCGAATTTGGTGCGGAACCCGAAGGGGAAAACGACATCAGGCGTGGTCTTGTATTTTTTGGCCAAGCGATCCCGAATTTCCTTCTTTGAAATAACTGAACGCCCGGGATGGAAAACGTCCAAGATCATCTGCTTTCGTGAAAGCAGTCTATTTGACATAAACTTCCTCGTACGTATAAGAGTATTCTCCGCCTATAAATGATAAACAACAAATTCTGATAAAAATCAGCACAAGACCTGTCTAGAACGCTAAGTGATGGCCTAATTATTACGATCTATGGGAGCTGGGCGCTTAGGAAAACGCGTGCTACTCCAAATGACGTCCTAACACCAACCCAAAAACGCCGATACAATAATAACGATTACCTATCAGAATTGTGGGCGGGTCTTTTCTGATGAGTCTGTCAAACGGTAGTACTTTCACCCAATATCGATACACCAAATGCGCACGCCATGTATACAATTCTTGAATCATATCTAATACGTGGATTGGCAGCACCATGGTAAAAATTGCAATAACTGTGCGGTGCCCGCGTGTAACTGACCCAAGCGACGTAAAATTAAACGCACGTCTTGTTGATATATGCAATAATTTCTAACATAAAACACCGAATAAATAGAATCGCACAGCTGATAAAAGAAAACTCACACTAGCCATCGCGAAGGGACACGCGAACAAACTGTGCAGACCGCGGTGAGCTCAAAAAGTGATTTAAACAAAGTACAAGTCACGCAGGATGTCTGAGGTGAGGCATGTTCTTTCGCGAATTAAGGCCGTCAAAGATATTGTAGCCCAACCTTGAGCAAAGTAGCCAGCATTCTATCTAAAACAAAACCATCCTTTTCAAAATAAAAGTAGAAAATTTGTAAGAAGCAGGGTAAATAGCAGAGACACGCACTGTCCTGTTTTAAATTGCCGTATTGGGCGGGGATTAAAAGGTAAATAGTTACAGAGCTAAGATAAAAAAGCAAAACACTTGATTAACCCGAGGAAAAGCAATGAAAATGGCCGTAGAAATACAATATAGATTACACAAGTCAAACATTATTTCCTTATTTAAAAATTATGTCGATGCATTCAGATATACCTTTAGGGCGGTTGGCAAATTCCCAACATATAAGCCGGATGTTACAAAACTCCATACTGGCCAATATCAGGGCTACCCTCTTCTACAGGGAAAAATACACCTTAGTAATCCTTTGTAGGGGAAACTCATGTATTCATCTTAAGAGCAATTCCACAATTCCAGATATCTGTTCCAAGAGGATAAAGCAGTAACGCTTCGGAAATCTTCACAATTGCATGAAATTCTTCGCCATTTCTTCCAAGGAGTTGCTGGTGAATTTTCTATGTCCCTTTTGCTTCTAATTCGAAATAATTTAGTCCAAAACTTGATTTGAAGCCAGTGCATATTACGTCCGCTTACGCGAGTGGGAGTTTGAAGCCGGCAGTAAAATTAAAGCCCTCATCTCATTGTACAATCAGCATATAGTCTTGAAGAAGATCGCTTACGTCAAGCCGATGCAGTTAGCATTGTAGGTCACGTAACTAGCTAAGAGTATATTGGAACGATGTTTCACCACCTTCAAAAATGTGGTCATTCACTCCGTTTAACCTTGCCTTCAATCTTTCTGTCCTGAGATGTTTTGATGACAGTTAGTCGACCTAAGAGGCATTCACCATATCCCTCCGAAGAAGTCAGCCTGTTTTATGCGTTGATCAAATACTTGAAGCTGTACTATTCCTAGTGAGTGTCGTTGAATTAAAGGTTAGGAGTTTAAAAAGTGAGTTTATCGGATGTGGGAAATAGTCTAAGCAGTATGTGATGAAAAGTAGCAAAGGAATTCCACCTGCACATATGAACCCGACATACAAGGCCGGAATTCAAATCACTTTTATCAATTATCTTCATGTCATTCACTCGTTTTTGCAGGAACTTATGCAGTAGAGTGAGCAGTCGAATCTTGCGCTTTAAGTGGAATAAAGGATCATTAGTCTTCTGAACAAACACGGCTGTACCGATGCATTTATTTACTAATGTATACCAATAGAGAGTTCAAAGGCGTTTGCCTATATTTCACATAATAAACCTGACCTGACTTGATTTAGCTCAGTGTAGTTAAGTCTATTTAAGGGTAATAGGCATAGCCTGTGAACATCCTCTTAAAACGTTGCACAGATTATTCAAATTACAATATACATATTACTAAAAATAGAGAGCAGCATATGCTCACGCATAAATTGTTTTTGTAACTGTTTGATTTTAGTACAGCTATCAAGAATGATCGGGAATTTCATATGTCAACTAAGAAATCTCAGAGTCTTCTGTACGTATGAGTACGTACCGGTTAAACGGTATCTTTTGAGTCTACATTTGAACGCTTTTGCCGTGTCTTCCTTGATAATGTCCAAGAGAAGTCCATTACGGGCACCGACAACTCGCTAAGAAAACGAACGGCGGCGAACATCCAGATGGGATAAGGTCCCTTTGCGTTCGAGCAAGTTCCCACGCGGATTATTTGTTGTTGCCAGGGAGACAAAGTATTTGAAGTGGAGGGCACAGTCCCGATTCCTCATAATAATAATTATAAGGTTTATTGGTAAGACACCTCTTGGGCACCGTCAAAACCCTTGGAAAACAGGAAAAACCTAAAACAACCCCCTTCTTTTGCACACAGATATTGGCTCTGTTTTTGTTTTATGCTTAGTCAATGGTGTGCAAGATAGGGAGTTTGTTCTTAATGAAAAAACCTGTCTACAAAGGTACAATAAGATCAAATAGGAAAATAATATCCATGCAGTACATGTGTTAGAGGTTTCAGAGTAAGTGTGAGTGTTTGTGTAAGCGTGAATGTTTGTGTAACACCGCTTCTGACCTAGGTGTACGCAAGAGGGAAATGGTTAAGCACCTGGAGTCTGCATACGTACGATAAGGACTTAAGACTCTCCACCTCTTTTGATGCCTCGTCGCACCCTTTTCAGTTATATTTGTGCAGCCACGTTGCGCGAACAGATCGAGGACAGAGGTCAAGGCCAAGGTCGCTCCCGACAGAACTGAGTTAAATACGCAATGAGCTGTACATGTTTTAATTCCTTGGCAATGAACTCGCATGACAGTTCGAAACGTCGGACAAAAAAAACCGCTGGTCCCAGAGCACGTTTTATCGTCTTCTATTCAGTTACGTGGACCTCGAATATTCTTGACCATTCAGAATATGTTCGGGCGCGAAGCGCTTAAATCAGCACGTCGTTGGGAATCCTTTTCCTGTCGGCAGGCCTCTACGTACGCTAAACTGAGGTTCAGCATAGGTACGTAGACTCAAATACTCTGCCGAGATGCCTCTCCAACGAATTCCCGGTCAACACCGAGCTAGGTCGACAAACGGCCCTGCAAAACAGAGGTAGAATGATGGGAGTCCTAATCCCGTATTATCATCTACGTTTGCGCAAGTACAAAACAAGAATTGAAGAGAAACGAGTCAAATGCTCAACAATCCTCGGAGTAGTCTTGACAAATGGTCTCCGTCGTACCATATATTTCAATGCCAGACGCATTTGTGATGCACATGACACCAAACTGATGTAGGAACCGACCGCATTGAGCGATAAGAATGCCAACCTCTGCCACGCCGATATCGTACACAATCTATCCTCCAAACAACTGATAACAGAACAAACAAGAGTCCTGAGCTATGACGCTTGTTTCAATAACATGGACGCCGACCAAGTCGACTTATTCACCGCTGTAGCATGTATTAGTCGTGAGGCTTCAATTCCAGAAGATAGCCGAAATCTACTACGACAGTGAATATCCTGCAGACTGATATCCCACAAAAAAGCAAGACACTTCTGAAAACAGAAATTGAAACACTGCTGACACCTAAAGCCGACAAAAACATTGTCATATTTCCAGCAGACAAAGGACGGTCGATAGTCACTCTAAACAAGGATGACTACGTCAACAAAGTTAAGACCCTTTTGGGCGATAGAACTCTCTACGTCCCTCGGGGAGATGACGCGATTAGGACGCTAATAAGCAGTATCAACAAGGATCTGAAAAGTCGTCGGAAGTCAAAAGAAAAAAACACAGTTCGATTGGCAAAAGATACAACCAAATCACGCAGAGCTCCCAAGATTCTGTGGCCTCCCCAAGGTCCACAAACCAGGAATCCCCCTACGACCAATCGTTTCCCTCAGAGGCACCCCAAGTGGTTGTTTCATCACGGAAGGTGCATTCATCACTGAGGTAAAACAAATCTGCCGTCGAAAAATAATATCTCAAAACTCGGAGATTTTAACTCTCCAGACATTGATTGGGAATCGATGCACAGCTCGCGATCAGAAAACTCATTCGAACAGGAACTGCTTCATTTGGTAAGTGACAAATTTCTTACTCAGCATGTCAAAATGGATACGCGGTTTTGAAGTGGTCAGCAGCCTAGCTACCTGGATCTCGTCATTAGTAGAGATGAAAACTGTATCCTCTAATTTAATATTCAGACCCCTTTTGGCCGAAGTGATCATTGCGTTCTTGCTCGGGTGTACAGCCGTTTCTCGGTACCCGTCGCTCATGCAAAAGGCGAAAGGAATGTATGGAGAGGGGATAAAACTAAAATGATAGGACTACTTAACGTGTCTGACTGGAGCGCTGCATACGTACCCGACCCGAAAACCGCCTGGTGCTTCTTTCGGGAATTAACTCAGCAATTGGTAGAGAACTGTTGCCCACTTGAGAAAAGCTTGCGCGTCTCCCGGCCGGAATGGGTGACACCGATCATAAAAAAGAACCTCAAGAAAAAAAGAAAACTGTGGAAAACACATACCAGACTTCAACAACCCGAACACTTCTTAGACTTTAAGAAAAGAACGATTAGCCTTTGAGACGGAACTAGTCAAGGGAATAGCTAACAACCCAAAAGGTTCTTTTCTTACTTGAATAAGGCAAAACGCAATCAAGATCCAATTCCTTGTCTGAAAGATAACCAGGAAACAAGTTCACCGATAACTCAGATAAGGCGAACCCCTTGTCTAACTTCTTTATGTCTGTGTTTACCGAGAAGCCGTCTTCTAACGCGGATGTACAGCGATATATTGTTCCAGCGGCGGATAAAATATTTGGAGGCAAAGAAGTGAGAATGGTTCGACGTGGAGCTAAAGGGGGGT